AATAATAATACCTCTGTTGCCATAACAGCTCTTTGCTGAAGATGACTTTCAGCATGTTTTCCCTTCTCCTTAGCTTCATTTACATCTGATCCCACAGAAATACTTATAAAAAAAAAAGACAATGATACAGAGCAATTCTCTGGAAAGCATTTTCTCCTAGGTAGTACAAGTACTCTTAGCTGTAGATCAAGATTTAGTGGTTAATCAAGTAGTAGCCTTCACCCTTTAGGAGATACAGTATATGGGAAAATAATCTTTTTCATGACAATTTAAAATTACTTATTTAAATCAATCCGCTTGTCAAAATTCAGGACAGCAGAAAATATTGTATACTGTTCTTCATTTAACATTTAGACTGAGGCTTCACTATTAAGCTGTAAATATATATGACACTCTCTAGAGTCAACCTTTTTCAAGTAACCATGCTTCCTATTGAAGAATCCAAGCAACAAATATTTTAGTTCCCTTTTTAAAGACCTCAGGGCTCAGTACACATTATTATTTTATCTTGGCACATCCACATTATTTTCTGCCAATTATTGTTATCTTAATTTACTACATATATACTGTACCAGACAAAATAATTATGGAAAGTCCTAAGAAACTGCAAATCCAACCTGTTAAGTAATACAGTAATGGGATAACAGGAACCCAGGAGCACTTGACTCCATAAATTACATAGGAAATTATTTATAGTATCAGATCACATTATGAGGTCAACTTTCTGGGTCCATCTATCTCTGTTATTGTCTATATGAACAGACAGAGTTTCATTGAAGGGTTCTTCCTGGACCTCTCTAGACAGTGGATCTGGGCATCTACATGCAGGTGGATGTTCTGTATGTAACCTGTGATATAAGCCCCATCCCAAAACATTCAGATAAATATGACATGAAGTGAAAGTGGCATGTTCCACTCTGTTTTCTTTAACTACAGCTTCTTTTCCCACATCTCATACTTACCGTCCTTTACTTCTATGAAATATGGCTGAAAGTGAGAGACGATAAACTGACTTCTACCACTGCATATAACAAAACTGAAGGAAGACAAATACATTTCTGCTTATGACAGCAAAAATTGCTTGAAGTGACTGTATTTCAGTAATTGTTATGCAACCAAAGTGAAGGCAAAAATCATAGGTACCTGAAACATTCTGATGATGTGTTGTCATCCTGGAGCCTACTCTGTAAGTGAAGTATCTCTGCAGTGTATCGCTCCTCAGTTTCCCTCAACTGCTCATGAAAATATGAGCGGAGACGTTCCACTTCTTGAGCATGTTGTTCTTCAAGTTGAGATTTAAAGTTCTCCATGTCTTCCCAACAGGTTGGTCTAACTTTAATATCTATACATGAATAAATTTTGAACAATCAGGCTAATATGCTGTTCAATAGTGAGAAGGGAAGGAAGAGTTATGATGTCAACGTTTTGCAAGACTTTAACAAAGAAATTTTTTTATTTCTTTTTTCACTGAAGGGCACTCACCACCTGTCCTCTTTGAACCTATAAAGGATAACTCTCATTATTGAAGGCAGTATTGTCAACTACTTGAGGAATAAACGTTCAAATACTATAAAAACTGAGAAAGCTTAATTTTATCCAGGTAGGCTTAACAGCTCTTCATCTATACCCATTCGTTTTAGATTTTTCTTTATTTATAACACACATATCTGTTTACTGTATTTTATATGCATATTTTTACCTGTATGATCCTGAGATGGTGTGGATAAACTGGGTACATTCTGTGGAAGACTGCCATTTTGTTTTCCACAATAGTCTGTACATGTTGACCACTGTTCTTCACCCTGGAGAAATTAAAGAGACTCACAGGGAAATGGGATTTCAAATTATAACCTTTCAATGGCTTGCTGGTGGTCATAAGGAGAGCAGAATATTTTCCATTCCTGTCTTTTCTGGCAATATTCTATTTCTAACAAAGTATACATCACAAAATTAAGAGAGAATATTAGTCAAATTGGGTCTAAGAAATCTATTTAATGAAAAGCTTCTGTACAAATGAGGGAGTATGTATGCATGTATAATGTGCACACATGAGTAAGTTTGTGTATGAGGACAAGGAATCAAGTCAGGGAAAATATGGAAGCTGAAAGTTGACTCTACCCTGTTCTAAAAATCACCTCCATCCACTGCTGCCACACAGACTTTCACATGTCTGGAATAAATTCTGCCTCGGGCTGAACAGGATTTCATAGAATCAGAGAATAGTGAAGTTGGAAGGGGCTTATAAAGCCATCAAGCCCAACCCCCTGTTCGATGCAGGAATACAAGTTCTGAACAGGATTTCATAGAATCAGAGAATACGGAAGTTGGAAGGGACTTATAAAGCCATCAAGCCCAACCCTCTGTTTGATGCAGGAATACAAGTCGGGTGGTTGTCTAAGTTTCTCTTGAATGTTTCCAGTGTTGAAGCACTCATCACCTCTTGAGGTAATTGTTTCCACTATCTTACTGCTCTAACAGGCTGTTTTTCCTGCTATTCAACCAAAATCTGGCTTCTTGTAACTTGAGCCCATTGTTGCATGTCTGGAATTCAGGGATGATCGAGAGCAGATCATGCCCCTCTTCTGTATGACAGCCTTTCAAGTATTTGAAAAGTATTTGCAAAGGCTTTCATGGCCGGGATCTAATGGCTGTTGTGAGTTTTTCGGGCTCCTTGACTGTGTTCTGAAGGTTGTTCTTCCTAACGTTTCGCCAGTCTCTGTGGCCGGCATCTTCAGAGGACAGCACTCTGTGCTCTGGTGTAGTTGGCTTGGGAGTGGAGTATTTATGGCTGTGAGCTAGGCTTTTGTCCTATTCAGGAGATGGGTGATTAGTGTGTCGTATTGTGGGTGTATTGTTGTGATAAGGAGAAGAAATTATCTGTCACTGTGATTGATCATAAGGAGAAGAAATTATCTGTCACTGTGATGGATCGTTGTCATTAGCTAGTCTTTTGTGGCTACCGTCCTGGTGGCTAGGTAGAGGTTGTTGACCTTTTGCGCGCTGTATTTTTCAGAGCTGGGAGCCAAGTTTTGTTGAGTTTCAAACTTTCCTCTTTTATGTTGAAGTTCTGTTGGTGCTTGTGGATTTCAATGGCTTCCCTGTGCAGTCTGATGTAGTGATTGCTGGTGTCCAATATTTCAGTATTTTGAAACAGAATTTCTTTCTTTCTATCAGAGAGGCTACCCAATCAAAAAATGAGATCAGATTAGTCTGGCAGGATTTGTTCTTGATAAATCCATGTTGGCTTCTAGTTATTACAGTATTGTTTTCTAAGTTCTTGCATGTTCCAGAATTTTCCCTGGGACTTTTGACAGGCTGACTGGCCTGTAGTACCCAGGTTCCTCTTTTTTGGCCTTTCCATTAGTCTGGCAGGATTCGTTCTTGACAAATCCGTGTTGACTTCTAGTTATTACAGCATTGTTTTCTAAGTGCTTGCATAGTATAATGGACAGAGGTTCTGAGAGTTCTTCAGCCAATCCTTTCAGGACTCTCAGATGCAGTTTATCTGGCCCTGGAACTTTGAACTCGTTCAAGGTGGTAAGGTATTCCTTGACTATTTGTTTATCAATCTCCAGCTGCAATCCTGTCCCTTCCACTTGCACTTCACATCTGTCTGGAAGTTCATAGTCTGTCTTATGAGAAAAGACTGAGCCAATACAGGAATTGAGCATCTCTGTCTTTTCTTTGTCATCTGTTATCATTTTTTCATCTCCATTGAGTAGCTGTGCCACTATTTCTTTTGTCTTTTGCTTCGCACATACCTGAATAATTCTTTTTTGCCTTTAGAGTCTCTAGTTAATCTCAGCCCATTCTCTGGTTTTGTTCCCTAATCCCATCCTATATTTCCTTGCTACTTGTCTGTACTCTTCCTTGGTGGCCTGGCCTTCTTTCCACTTCCTATACATGTATTTTTTGTTTTGTTTTGTTTCGTTTTCAGGTCTTCCCAGAGTTTTTTTTGAAGCCCCCCTGTTTTTTTTTTTTTTTTTTGCTGCTTCCCACCATTTTTCTTGTTAGAATTGTTCGTTGTTGTGCTTTTAGAATTTCCTTGTTTATTTATTTTATTTATTTATTTATGGGATTTTTACCCCGCCCCTCTAGACCATGTCTACTTTTTTAGAAACTCCCACCCTTCTTGGACTCCTTTTCTTGTTAGGATCTCCTGCTGTGGGCCTTTCCTCATCCTTGTTCTGAGATTATTAAAACTGACTTCTTAAAAAATCACCTTATGTGTGTGGCTACACTCTGCTCTGGTTTTCTTTGAAATCAAGAATTCTAGAAGAAAATGTTCACTCTCACCCAGAGTTCCCCTTACTGCCACTTCCTCCACCAAGTCATCTCTACTGGTTAGAATCAAGTCAAGGATAGCTAGTCCTTTAATTTCTTTCTCCAGTTTTTGTAGGAGAAAATCATCAGCCACACAAGACAGGAATTTCTGGGAAGGATTATACTTTGCAGAATTTGCCTCCCAACATATATCAGGATACTTTAAATCTCCCATCACTGCTATATTGTGTCTCTTTGAAATCCTTGCAATTTGTTTTTCAAAAGTTTCATCCGCTCCCTCTCCTTGATTGGGTGGTTTCCCTCCACTTGTGTAAAAGATTGCCAAATCTGATTGCAGTCTGCCACCCTACCACCTCCTACTGGAAAACCCAGCTGCTAGTTCATGAGTTGCTCAGGTCCTGAGGTCCCACTGACTACGCTTTGCTTGCCAGCATGGAAAAGGCCAGCAGAGGGATAACACTGCCTCCCTGGCTGTGTAGATCCCTAGTTCCTGCTCATACTCCCTGCTGAAAGGAGAGGGATATATGAAAGAGTAACTAGGGAAAACATGTGGGTCATACTGGGGACCAATGGAAACCAGATAAGGTACAGTTCAATGGGATTCCCACACCTGATCTAGAATATAAGTAACTTTTCTTTTACCTTTTTTGTGTCTTTCACAATCTGTGCATGATAATCTAGTAACCTCTGGTACTCTTCCATTATCTTGCTCAGAAGATTTTGCAGTGTTTCTTGCAAAACTAAATCAAAATGGACATATTAAACATTTTAATTAAGTTCACTATCCTTATTCGAGCACATTAATCCCTCTGCTTTTTCAATGCAATAAATATGATATAAATAGTATTCTGAATGAAAAGTGCATCAAAGAATGCTAGTCCAGAAGCTCCTAGATTTAAATGTAAGATTTAGAAGGCAGACCTGAATAAGCAATTGTATTTCAGATTTCCTTTTAAAACCCAATGTAGATTAAAAACAAAACAAAATACAATATGCTTCAGAATTACTAACACCAATGAGTAAGAAGCAATGCTTGCCAACCTCACTCTCCAGAGTCTGAAATGAACAATAATTCTCCACAATGGAGGATAATGCACAATACTTTACTTTGACATTTAGAAATCAATGAAAAGCAGGCATTATACTATCAACAATCAAAGTATCCCATAGCCATTACAAACATCTCTCACTGTTTCTGCTGGGTTTTGGTATCTCTTTTGGATTTCAAGTTATTACAAAAAGAAATCATATTCTAAAATCATGTTCTTTCTGTTATTTAACTCAAAACGTCAAATAATCTGAAAGCATTACTCCATTTAACAGTACACTGTGCTGTCACCCCTTGGAAAACAGATTTCTATTTCATTATCCGTATTTTTCAGCAAAACTGGTCTAGTCTTGCTCCTTGTTTTTTCATTAACTGAAACGATACTGGCATGGAAGCAAGCCTTACTGAATTTAATGGGCTTACTTATGAGTAGCCATGTATAGGATTGCTCTATAAGAGACTATATGGTATGTCCTGATTTACCTTGAGCTTCTGGTCTTAATATTAATACAGAGCTAGATTTTTCTGTCTCACTGACATCATATTTAACAGCAGCTGGAAAAGTTCCAAGTGGCATGTTCAACAGATACTGTAACAAAGAAAAAATACACATATAACAAAGAAAAAAAGTTTAAGATACACATATTGCATATAATTATATTAAAAATGGTAAAAGATCAATAAAGTTATTATGCAATTATCATCCTCCTAAAATGAATCTGGGGGTAATGTAATGAGAAGCATTATCCACCCAATACATGACAATGGAAGACTCACCTGCTATTTTTCTGGTTCTTCCATCTTATAATAGATAAACACACATGAAACTTTCATTCATTATGGGAATATATGCTTCTCACCTGAGTGAGCTTGGAACATTCCTCAGCTACTGTCTTGCTAAGCCTTTCTAAATGCACCCATGTAGATGAGTCTTCTTCATCTGTGAAGACAGTCACTAAAATTTGTTTGTTGAAATATGTTTTTAATAATTTTGAGAAAAGGGGTTAATACAAATACAGATACATGTTATGTCTGTTTTATTTGTAGGCTGTAACAAAATACAAAGTATAAGGAGCATTAATTTACATTGAAGATAAATAGTTAAGAACAAAACTACACCACTGATAGGACACCACTAACCTGATACATAATCATAATATATATGTTACTACTGTCAAAATAAAACCTGTTAATGTGAAAATACTATCTCAAACTTGAAATTTCACAAAATAAGACTCCTCTTTTACCAACTTACCTGTTTTTATTTGTTTAATTATATGAATATCCTGCTGAGAGTTCTTAAGCTCACTCAGTTGTTGAGCATGACAGAACTGGAGCTCTTCTTTAAGAGCAGAAAGAGCATTCTCCTTTTCATTTTCCAAGCATTCACGTACTTGGTCCACATGAGCTGAGTAAACCAGAGACAGACAAATTCTCTGCGCCTCCATCTGAAGTTTTAAATCATTCTAAGTAAAGACAGACATCACATGTGTTGGAGGGTTGGCAATCATAAAAACACTTCTTAAATATCACACTTACGAGGGTTGCTATAAGTCAGTTCCAACTTGATGGCACATAACAACAAAATAAGAAATGTAAACACTGAAAGAAATTACTGAATGGTATTCAGTAAAATTGTTTTATTTATTCTCAGAAGTTTCATTCCTAAGCAACATTTGTTAAACACATCACTTTGAGAAAAATTCAAGTCCTGCACATCTACCTGATTCTAATGCTAATTTTGCCATTTGCTAGAATATTTTTTTTACCTTTCAGTTCTTCTCAGACACTTGACAGGAAAGGAAATCTTGTGAAAAGTTTAATATGTGGTGAAGTGTTTAAACTGCAGTACTGCAATGAAGACGCTGCTCATGACCTGAGTTTGATCTCATGACCCAGGGTTCAATCCCAGGTAGTCAGCTCAATCTTCCATCCTTCCAAGGTCAGTAAATTGAGTACTCATCTCGCAGGGCAATGTGTAGCCTGCATAATTAAATTGCAAGCTGTCCAGAGAGAGCTTTAAGCACTATATGTCATATATAAGCAACACAGTTTGTTTTTGCTTTGAAACCCTTTTTCAAGTGCTCATATGTAACTTTGAAGCATTTTGCATAAATTGCATAAATTGTAACCAATTTCAGTTAAGTGAAGGAAGAGGTGAGGGAATGCATCTGTTACATAATCAGGCCCATGACCAGGCACATGATTAAGACATGCATAGGCACTTTATCAATTACTTTCACTTAGCTGTGGCAAGTTACACAAGCTTTATGCAAACATCATAGGATAGCTGGCCAAAATATTTTTTTTAATTGATCTTTCTACACTGCAAAAAGTTTACATTTATTCTGCATTCTATTTCAGTCTTGGCACGGAAAGGTAAGTTGAAATATCTTCAGTATAAAAAACAATACTCTGTTTAAAATGCCTAAGCGTCCCTCTATAACTGCAGAAATTATAGGAGGTAAGCTGAAAAATATATATAAAACTATAGTTAAGCATTCTGCTCTCAATTCTCCGTAAAAACTACAGTTTATACTGTTGAAGCTCAATCGTGACAACACATTATCATTCATCCTTCTTTATCTATGTAGCACTTGCTTTTTCAGAAGCCACACTAGTTCAAAATATAGACACTGCCTGATGCAGTGACAAATGTTTAGGAGGCTCTTTAATAACTTTTACCTGTAAAGGTGATCAGACTACTCTGAGCAAGAACAAACAGTCATTTAGGGTATTCTTGCACCTAATACTGCAATAATAAAACACCTATAAAAATAAATTATTACCATTATCTTAACTACTATTTCACAGATACTTTAGGTAAAACTAAAAAACAAGTAAAGAAATATACTTCTCTATCATAAAAGATTATGGGCTGCACCAAATTTTCTTCAGTTTTATTTTCTAGCCGAAAGTATCAATCTGGATGCATGTTGGTGTTGCTATTATGCTCAGTAAAGTCAGTCCTGCTCAGCTCTTGCAATTTGTAGACCTTAGTCTGCTTCCTATACATTTGAAGATATGGTAATAGAAATGTTTCTGATAAGTACTGGGCTGTATTCTTTGCCAACTTCAAATAATATTCAGTATTTCTCCTTGTTATTTTTCTTTCATTCATACAGCCCCATTCAGTTATTACCTAAGGATGTGCAGTCCACCCACTTTGAGGGAAATGCATTAGTTCTTCACATCTACCATTGCTTTTAGTTCCCTAAATATTCTGGCTAATTTGGAGAGGCTATGTGGATAGTGTCGCTTCCCCAGTTAGACTTTCACTTTCACATGTTAACATCAACAATAAAGGGGCTGGGTTATTGCGCTCTGCTCAATACACTGAGACAATAAGTATGGTTTCTGTTTGTCTGCTTCTCCTAGATAAGTTATAAACACTGAGTCTACTAGAGATTATTCCATGAAAACAAAAATAGTAGAGTGTTATGCAGCCAATGAAATTCAGTTTTCATTGTTAAGTGCATAATAATAAAAAAGGGGAACAATATCAACAGGCTATTGAATATTTTCAAAAGCACTGCTGAAAAAAAGCCAAGTGAATTAAATCCTTTTTGACACTACAGTACTAATTTTTTCTTCAAATGGGAATATTCTGTTCTGCTCCAATGAAATTTTAGTAATTCTTACACTTACATTCTACTAAAGGAAGGAAAGAAGGAATTGAAACACAAACATAACACTTAGAGACGTTACATAATTAAGGCAATGAATTAGAACCTCTTTAAAAGATTTGCCTAGCACCAAAACAATGTAAATCCAAACAATGTTGTTTTCTATTTTCAGTGAACCTAGATAAGGTAATCTTTACAAGAAATTCAAATATGAATTTATTTCTACCTTAAAACCATGCAGCACAGAACACAAGACATTAAAGGTATTTTCTGCCACAAACATTATCTTGGTAGCTTTACTTTCCTTATTTATTTTAGAAAGGAAGCCAGATGAACACAAGCTTTAAAATGACTGTCAGCAATACCCAATAGTTGTGGATTTTTCAGGATCTTTAGCCGTGTTCTGAAGGTTGTTCTTCCTGACGTTTCGCCAGTCTCTGTGGCCGGCATCTTCAGAGGACTGGAGTAGGAACTCTGTCCATGCTCAGTCCATGCTCAAAGCATGGACTGAGTTCCTACTCCAGTCCTCTGAAGATGCCGGCCATAGAGACTGGCAAAACGTCAGAAAGAATAACCTTCAGAAGACAGCCAAATAGCCCGAAAAACCCACAACAACCATGAGATCCCAGCTGTGAAATACTTCAAGAATACAGTACCCAATAGCTTTCTATTCTGTGTATTGGCTTTAGTTATACGATGGTTCTCCACCAAGCACCACCAAAGACACATCTCAAATAGTGAATATTATGCCATGATTTTACCCGTTAATTTAAGGGAGTAATGTAAAGCACGTACCTACAGACCTTAAACATTACATTACAAGCATAAACATGTATTTTTGCAAGTCACGTCCATATGTGTCACTCAGCAATCAAATCCCTCAACATTTTGTAGTTAAAAATTTGTAAAAATTAAATTTCAAATTTGTAAAAATTAAGGTGAAATCCTATTTAATCTCTTGTAAATTTCAGTAAACTCAAAGGGCATTACACTGATATAAAATCACATTTATAGACTGCAACCCTAAACATACTTCACTCAGGAGTAATCCCTAGTGAACATTGTGGGATTGACTTGTAAATTAAAACATGTATCTTTGTACTTTTAAACAAAGCAACAGCCTACTGAGACTCATGCAAAGCAAAAAGGTGGGTTGCCATAAATACCTGTTCAGTTTTCAGTTTCTCTAGCTGTTCCTGAAGTTTGTTTTCATCTTGCACAAGGCTTACATATGAAGATTCTTCCGCAAATCCATCACTCACTGGAAAATCATCCAAAAGGAGTCCTGGTTCTGAATTTAATTTTTGTTGAGCTACCTTTTCCACTGAAACTTGATGAGTCAAACTTTGGCTTGATATACATTTCTCTTTTATTTCTTTTATTTCCCTATCAAATCCTTTGGGTGAATCAGGAACAAAATTTCCAAGTTCATAAACTGTGGAGGGCGTCTTCTCTAACTCCCCATTGGAATATTTAATTTTAGGTTCACATCCATTCATATTTTCTTCTAGCCTGAGGTTAACTATATTTTCTAGTTCTTTACACTTAGCTGAAATGTATTCTTTATCTTGCTTTAGAGATGCAACTTCTTCATTTAGTTGACAGATTTGGTTCTGCTTTAGTTTTAATTGTTCCGAAAGATCTGAAAGTCTAGATGAAAGTTCTAGTTTTTCACGCTGAGTAACTTCAAGCTTTTCCATAAGTTCTGTTGTATCTTTTTCTACAACGTCTTCAACATCAAATGTTTCTGATCTTAGGATTTTCTCCTTTCTACCTTGAGCAACTTTGCTTTCAGTTTTCAGCACAACTGGTTTTTCTTCTTGAAAATACTGGACTTCCATCAATGCCTGGAGTTTGGCTTTGTATTCAGCTTCTTGTTTGTTCTTGTTCTCTTCTAAATCCAGTTTTAGTTTTAATAAAGAAGTATATTTTTCTTCGAGTTCTTTATAATTATGCTCAAGGTTTCTCTCAGCAAATGAAAATCTATCTTTTATCCTCTCAATCTCTTCTTTATGTTCAGCATCTTCTTTTATAAGCTTTTCATGTTCAGCTATCAGATTTTCTATTGTTTTTAGTAAATCATAGTCCTCTGATATGCCACTAACACCATCAGTGTATGTTAAACTTATTTCCACATTCTTAACAGCATATTTCCTTAATTTTTCCCCCAGATCTACAAGAATATTATTTTGTGTTTCAAGCAATGAACATTTTTCTTGAAGACTATCCTCTTTTTCTTTCATTTGCTTTTCCAATAATTCTGTTTTAAGTTGCAATTCCTGAACTTCCTGTTCAAGTGTACCCTTTTCTTTTCCCTCCCGTCTAAGAACTTCTATCTCTTTTTGGAGATCATGGATTTGAAGCATCATTTCTTCAGATTTGGAATTTACAACCGATTGATGCAAATCTTTTAACCTGGATATTTCTAATGTTAGCTCATCCTGTTTTGTTATTAAGCTGTCATTTTCAAATTGCACAGCTCCTAACTTTTTATTCATTTCATCTCGTAAATAATCTAACTGCTGTTTAGTTTGCATAACCATTTTCTCTTTAAGGTTTTCAATGTTTATTCTGTATTCTTGTTGTAAATCATCTCTAAGTTTTGATAGCTCTTCTTCATGACTGAACAAAAGTTGAGTCCTTAGTCTCTCTAGTTCAGCTTCTTGAGATTCAGCCATCCTGTCTAAAACAGCATCCTTTTCCCTTTCTAGCATTTCAAGTTTTATTTTATAATTTGTAACTTCTGCTTCGTGTTTTAATTCTAATTCTTCCCTGATTTCAGAAGCAGTAGCAAGTTGGGCCTTTAGATCTTCAACAGTGATTTGTAATGTCTCTGTTTCACGTAACTTGGAATCTTTTTCATTTATAGTTTGTTTGGCTTTCTGAACCTGCTCTCTTGTGAAGTTCAGCTCTTGGTGAAGATCTTCAACTTCATTTTGCAAAGAAGACTTTTCTGAGGACAGTAGTTCAAGCTGTTGGGACAAATCCTGCCTTACCTTTTCTCTCTGGTAATTAGCATCTTGTAGCATCAGATTCAATTCATTAATTGCAATATTCATTAAGTGTACTTGGTCTTCATTGGTATTACCAGAACGTAAATTCAAAGTTCTCTCCAGATCTGCTTTTTGTTGGGCAAGAAGTTTTTCAATCTCAATTGTATGTTCTCTAACTAATTCTTGCTTGATATGTACAATTTGCTGCCCATGCACTTCCTCCAATTCTGCCCTGAGGTTTGCAAGTTTCCTTTGTGTTTCAAGTTCCATTCTTTGTACAATATCATTTTCATATTGATTATCTTTGTGACATTGCTTTTGCAGCTCTTCCACAGTTCCCATTAATTGTTTTATCTCATCAGAACTCTGTCTTTCTTTCTGCTTAGAACTGGTCAATTCTGCTTTTACATTATGTACCTCTTGATTCTTTTGAAAGAGCTCTTCTTTTACTTCTTCTAATAATTTCTCCGCAGCTGATAATTTTTTCTGAAGAATGAATATGTTTTCTTCCTCTTCTATAATTTTTGCTTCTAATTCCTCAATAATTGCTTCCTTTTCTTGTAGTTTCTTCTTAGTGGAATCTTCTTCAGCTCTACATTTTTCCTGTTAATAAATACAAAAATTTATTTCTTGAATCTCTATGTTTTGACTATGTATCCTATAAAAACAAACATTGATATTGAGCATTAGAGCCCTTCTCTACACATATTTGATAAGTCTACAAAAATGTCATAAATTATTTTTCTGATTTATGGTACTCCCTGAGACTAGACATACACAGAGATAAAAACAGAGAATAGAGAACATAACTCATCTAAGGCTGAAACAGTATACAGGGGTAAAACAAGAATAAGGAAAAAATCAACAGAACTAAGAACTGGATTTTAGTAGCTGCTGGGAGTTGAGGAATGGATGTAATGGAAAACAGAAAGAGTTTAGAAAATGATTTTAAGGAATAGAGAGGAAAACTGGTTTAGAAATCTATGAAATTGGTAGTGGTAAATACAGAAGTCAAAAATATTCCCACTGCCACTATAACTACTTAAATATTCCTATTCAGAACAAATATCTGAAGTTCAGCATTCAGAAGAAACAGAAGTAGCAAAGAGAACACAACAGAAAATCAACCTCATGTTATTTCACTATCTCCGCTCTACCAAAGCTATATGGTTGGAGAACCCTGGTAAAATTACTGTTTATGATTAGATCTGACCGTCATAAACTACCCTTCTCACCTCTCCCTTCCCCTTGGTAAATCTCAGATAAATGTTTTTGCATCTTTTGCTGACATGCTGCGTACCTTATCTTTTGGTTTCAAACCTTTAATTATCCATGAAGCTTTGAACCAATCCTAATGAAGCCCAAATTATCCCAATTTCTCTAAATCCAATAGTAAATGTATGTTTACACATAAATGTACGTATGTTTATAGCACACATATATTTCATGCAAATATATACTTTAAACCAGAGCAATAGCACAGCTATTGGGATGCATATGGAGCCCAGGGTAGATAAAAATCAATGATTTCTTAAATAAAAAATTAATAAGTCCATGCTTATACTTAAAAAAAAAATAACAAGAACAATAAATTATGGGAAAAGACAAAGTACATATTCTGTAAAAAATCTATCATCTTAATAAGAAACATACCATCTCAAAGTCAGTGATTTTCTGCTGCAAAAGGGAAAGTTCCTGTTTAAATTCTTCATTTTTCATCTGATAATTCTTTAAAAGCTGCTCTTGATCTTCTAGTTGTTGTTGATATACAAGAATCTGTTGTTTGGCCTGGAGTAAATCAGCAGCTGTGCTACTATGACTAGTGTTCCTTAAAGCTTCACTTGCCTGCAGCTTATGAAGAAAGGAGCACATTAAGGTTCACTGCTTAAATAACAATTGTCAAATTTCAAGGAGGAAAAGCATAATGAAAAAAGGTATTATTCATTTTCATAAACACAATACTTTATATTTTAGAACAATAATCATATTATGGAAGTGTGGAATAAAATACATCTATTTTCCCTCACCTGGTAGCGGCCTCTTTATGGCTTTTCTGAAAAACTATCATTATGGATGTTCTTTTTCACTATACCTGGTATATTCTCTATTTTCCCTAGAATTTAGAGGAATTGGTATTTCTTGTTTTAGGAGAGGACCCAAACTAACGCCTTCTAAAGTAATTATCTAATGTTAAAAAAAACACAAATCCCTGAAATATCTTAAAGGAGCTCTGTACAACTAAGGGAGGATTTTTTTTTCTTTAAAAATATGTGCAGGTGGGCATGACTGATCACCAAAGAGAAAGATGACTAAACATTAATAATCAAGACAACCTCACCATGTTCTCCTCTTTACAATCTTATCCCCTCACATTTGAGATGTTTAGCTAATTTTCTGCTACATCAGTCTTATCAGCTTCTGGAATACAATGGTGCCTTGCATAGCAATCACTCTGTTTAACGAAGAAATCCCTTTGCGATGATGTTTTTGCGATCACTTTTGCGATCGCTTAGCGATGGTCCCTATGGGGGAACTTCGCTTTGCGGTGATCGCAGGGAAGGGATCATCACAAAGCCCCCATTTTCGGCCAGCTGATCGGCGGTTCCAAAATGGCCGCCGGGTAAACATAATGGCCGCTCGCTGTGTTGCCTCGCTTTAGAGGCACCAAAAATGGCTGCCCCATGGAGGATTTTCGCTTAAGGTTAGTTTTTAAGCCCATAAGAACATATTAATGGCACTTTAATGCGTTTCTATGGGCTTTTTAATATCGCTTAGCGATGAAATTGCTTAGCAGCGATTTTTGCTGCACGGATTAACATCGCTAAGCGAGGCACCACTGTACTTTAAATGAGGTAAAGTGGAGATAAAAAGAGTTCAACCTAACAGCTATTATTCCTCCATTGTCAGAATGACAAATGTTTATTTATAATAAGAGACTGCCTTCAGATATCACATTTCTGATCATCCACTCAGATAACAATCTGGACGATTAGAAAGGAACCTTAAACTCTGCTTCCACTCACTTCCCATCCTTCCCTCAGATACACATATTACAGAAAAACATTGTGACTTGCTGAAATCACATTTTCTTTTTCCACCAGAACTTGTGATTTGAAAGAACCCTCAACAGTATTTTCTTTTGCCTTGCAATCCTAGTGTGGAAGGCTTGCTCAATCCCTAATTAATTGTTTTGGATAAAATGGAAAGATCATTATCCACAAAGCTAAATCCATGGTCTGGAAAAATTGAAAGATGAAATCTACCGTAAATACAATTAGATTCAAAACTTCAAAGTGTTCTCTCAGAAGTGGGATAGTAAACGAGGGACAGACAAGACTGTACATTGCCTTAAAATAATTGATTTTACATCTTTAGGACTAATAAAATGTTAGCATTAACTTACATGTTGAAATTGAATCTGAAGTTTTTGACTCTGCTCTGTCAATTCCAAAAATTCTCTCATAGTTTCATCCTTTTCCTTCCTTGCTTGCTGCAGATTAGCAGTGAGCTGTGTGATAATATCATCTCTGTTTTTGATAGCAGCCTCAAATTCTTGTAGCTAAAATAGGCAAACTAAAAAGTTAATGGTCTACAAAAAGCTATACACAGCTGCAATTATTCTAGAGCAGTCGTTCCAAACCTTGGTGCCCAAATGTTCTTGGACTATAACTCTCAGAAATCCTGACCAGCACAACTGGTGATGAAGGCTTCTGGGAGTTTTAGTTCAAGAAAATCTGGGGACATAGAAAAATGGTAATATGGGATTCTACCCCATTATTTCCAGCAATTTAAAAAATCCACTTGGAAAACATTTCAAATATTGAAGTGTAACATGCTATTTAGTGGTTCCTTTACAAAAGATTTGTTTTTCGCAAATGACTGTTTAAATTCTGATATTTAATTAATGTTGAATACTTGACCAATCTACAATGGCTTGTTAAAAATTCCTTTTTTGTAGTGGCTTACGAACATCCTTCCACATCAAAACTTTTTCGCTAGAAGATCATGTTACGAAATTAAGCTGGGAATGCCTGCTCAATAAAAAACATACCAGAACAGCATTTCTTTGTGCATCAGCAGCAGAGTAGTCTTTGATCACATGCAACAGAATATGACCCCAATAGCTTTAAATACTCTGTTAGACAGGGCTAATATTAAAATTTAAAATAAATATATGAGGGAAACCAGATTGTATAATTCAGATGCAGAATTACACTGCCAAAATAGAATTTATTTATTTATTTATTTATTCCATTTATACCCCGCCCATCTGTTCATCGCGAACACTAAAAGAATAGAAAAAGACAGAACTAAATAAGAAATCAAATATAACAGAGGTTAATGGTACAATGAAAAGATTTTGAACTATGCAGCACATATTTCATCAGTAGAGAGCTCAATCCTTCCTTCACTCCAACCAGTTTTCAACAAATTTTCTTTCTTGAGTTGGGAAAAAAGAACACTTCCTTTCTTAGGGCTTGTAAGCTATGCTGCACTTGAATACTAGGCAGAACAATGCCTGGAAAAATGTATTTGGACTCAACCTTTTCCATAGTCAATTGCAATGGTTGCAATTATCAATGGGGTTATAAATGATGGTTGGAAAGTAAAGTAAAATAGATTTCAAAGAAAGACTTATCATAGTCCTTTTTCCCTCCTGTCAATTTAGATGGGTTTTTAGCTTCCAGTTCTAGTCAGTTTAACCAATTTAAAGCAGGGCTGAGCAACATGTAGTCCTGAGGCAACTTTTGAGATCCTTTAGTACCCCTGGATTCCCCAGACCCCAAAATCACTCCCAGAATTTAATAAACATTTTTAAATGCTCAAATGACCCCTAATAAGGTGGCAAGCCTTTGCATGTTTTGACGGGCCCCCACATTCCTGAGGTCCCTTATAAGTCCTTTAAAAAAAATTAAAATAAAGGCCGGTAGAGGGATAGGGGCTCCCTTAGTTAAAAAACAAACAAATTCATTTTTCAGTCAACACAAACCCACAGTAGCAAGTATTACTGTTACAATATATGATCATTACATCATTTTTTAAAAGAAACATACAAATTTATCCCTTTAGCCCCATGCCATATTAAGTGTGGCTCTCAGACAGTCTGAAGTTCTGAAAAAGGACCCTTGATCCTGCTGAGATCACCCTTGTTGTTTTAAGGACTGGTATATCTAATTAAAATTAGAAAGCTGAACCTTGTAACAATCTTGTGTGAAAGCAGAAGATATAGCAGAAAGCAGATGTATTTGATATAAAACAGCTGTTTCCCAGCTCTTTGAAATCCAGTGTCAAATTCACTACTATTTTAAGCCTTTATACAGGTACAATTGTTTTCTAAGCTTACTACTCATTACAGATGGGCACAAATCTTGGTTTGGAGGTTCGTGCTGGTTTGCGTTCCCTTCCCCTGTTTCCACAGTCAATACCCCGCTCACCAGCTGGAGCACACTTTTCTCCTACTCTTCAGCTGTTCAGCCAGTCCCTGGCAGAAGGATGGGCTTTCCTGTCCTACCTCCTTGGCTGAGTGGGCGATCAGCCAAGGAGGTGGGGCAGGGAAGCCCATTTTATCCAAACAACACTGCAAACAATCTAAAAGCTAAACGTTTTTCTTCATGAATATTACATGAAAAGAAACACAAAATCCTAAATAAGAAATTAATTTCTAAACATTTAAAAGACTAGAAATGAAAAAGGTGAACATTTGAAAGATTGTATGATGTAAGAAAGTTAGGTCTAGAAACTATTTACTGATTTCCTAGAATCTTTATGGCAAAAATCTCTAGTAAACATTACCTTCTGCAAATACCGGACCAACCCAAAGAACTTACAACTTGATTTTTCACATTGAAAAAACCGTTTTGAGGAGGAGAGATCGGGTATTTGTATACTAAAAGCTCAAAAACAGGCAAGTTTTTGAGTCCTACAGGATCCAAAAACTCTCCTGATTTGGAAATTTTTGTGCTCTAATAAAGATATAGCCAAGATTTGTGTTTGGATTTTGAACTACACAGGGTTTTTTTCTTTTTCTCATTAACAGTATAATCAAATTCCAGGAAAAACCAACAAAATGTACAAGTAGCATTCAAGACAAATAACTGAAAAAGTGCTACAATGCAATTTGGAAATCTCCTTTTATCCCACTGTCCAGTGTAGTATAGCATATAGAATGATGGACTAGGATTCAGGAGATCTAGGTTTAAATACTATACCTGCTTGGCCACAGAAATTACCTGGTTGCTGGCAACAATAAAACTATCCCTTAAATATCCCAGCTATCTTGAAAACTTTACTGAAGTCACCATAATCAGATGTTATTTGATGGCACATAACAACTAAATTTTCTAGTGCTGCAATCTAAACTGAAAGGTACGTTCAGTGTAGTGTGTTAGGAAAAGGAATCAGTGCCTCGTCCTAGCACAACTGCCCTTGCCTTGGCCCGATAGTTTTTCTACGAGCATAACCCCCATGTCCTGACTAACCTCAGATCTGCCAGCACAACTGTTGCCCTGGCTGACATCAGCTGGCAGAAGAGAAAAAAAGGAGAGAGAGCGGGGAAAAATTAACTATGTTAAATTGAAACCCCACTAAGCCCAAATTTGCAGCCACTATGCTGGCACACACACAGGCCATGAACATGGTAGTCCTAAGGAATATCCAACATCCCCAGACAGGGAAAAGCTTGGATTCAGAATAGTCTCAGCTGGTCTAGTGTCAATTTAGCCAGCCTTCAGACATCTTGGCTAGATAAGATTGTGTCCCAAGTCTGTGAATTTTTAAAAATGTTCTAAAATGCATTATTGCAAAACAAAACAAAAATATGCAAGATTTTTTATAAAGTTATTAAGGCAAATAATCTCAGTCAGACAGACAAGCTATGAGATGAAGCACAAATATTTTAACTAAATATATTAAACAGAGCCATTTGGCTCTCAATGTAGCAATGGTGTGGCACACCACATAGAACTTCTTTGCTTTATTTTAAGAAAATGCATACAATCTAGTATTATCTGTATGTCTCAATTCAGTGTTCCTGCATGCTCTACTTGCTAACTTCCCAACAAGCCACCTTCCTGCAAACTCAATGCAGCATGTTTACTGAACTAAAAATGTAGGCAATGAGCCTATCTAACAGGCTAAATGAATGACAAAGCAGATTACTCTAGCTACTCTATCATGCCAACGTCTATAATATGGTCAGGAAAATCTAAGTGAACTAAAAGGAATATTTATTTGATGGCTGGATAATGTGCAAAAATGAGCACTGGACAGTCATAGCCTTTAATATGCAGACATAATTCTTACATCTTCCCAGCTTAAGAAATGGACTAGCAATTTCATTCAGTTTGTAGTCGAACTAGAATACAGTACTGTATTTAGTTGACTCTTGCTGATAAAGAAAATGAAGACCATCTTGTCATTGTTCATTTGTTTAAGCAGAAAATAAGAGCATTCTACAAAATAAACAATTGGTTTCTTCAATGGAAGATGAATGTTACTTGTGTAATCACTCACAAAACCAAAAGCAAGAATCATAAACATCAAACTGAAAAAAAAATATGAAAAGTACTGGACAAAGACGACTCTTGTACAATGGACGGATAACAAAAATAAACATCAAACAAAACTTCTCTCATCCTTTTATCATCTTAAAGCATGTCAGTCGATATCGAACAACTGTGTGTGTGACTACAAAGCATGCAGAAAGCAACACAAGGTAATTATACCTGTTGCAATCCTTCTGTACCATATGCTGCCCTCATTTCTTCTAGCTCTCTGTTTAGCTCTTCGATCTCTTGTTGTTTTGCAACCAATTCATTCTCCATCATCTCCAGTCGTGTCAAAGAATGCTGAATCCCATGCTCAGAATAATTCTCTCCAAATCCAAATTCTTCTTCCTAAACCAATCCAAGTTCCTTAGCAGCCCAGCAGTGTATAAGCTTTGTTCAAGGTGAGGATACTTAAAACATTCCAGTCTGCTTAGATGAGGTAGCACTTTAGTACATTGCTATGGAAACCTGCTTTGTCAATATAATTTGCTCTGTAATAGCATTGCATTGCTTGAAATTAAATCCTAAACTTATTAGTTATTATTGTCCTCTAAATATTAAAGAAAAAGCAATAGAAGAAACAGTGTAAGCTAGTAACGTTTCATGGCATGCAAGCAAAAGAATGATTGTTAGCAATCTTGACACATTTCCCAAAGCACATATTTCAGTAGGTTTTAGTTTTCAGTGCCATGATTTAATTTTACATACTGTACCCTAGTAATGTCTGCAGGCACATCTGTTCTTGCCAAAAAGCTGCAATCATTTACCTGTACAAAAAAAATTCTAGATGCATTAAAATTTAAAGTGAAATTTACAGTGCAAATCCAGTGCAACTTAGAAATGAGACCTACTGTTTTCAGTGGGGCTTATTCCCAAGTAAGTATGGACAGGCCTTGGTTTTTTTGGGTGTTTTTTTTTTTTACATTTATGCTTAGATAACGTTTTTTTTTTTTGTTTGTTTGTTTTTTACATTTATGCTTAGATAATGTCTGCCAGTTCAAGAAATGAACTTTGGGCAGTAAGACATAAAAAACACTGCAATCTTCCATAGCATGTTTTTGAGACAACAGTCTGAAGCAAAGGAGAAGATTTGGGGTAAGGATGGAGACATCAGAACTCCATAAGTTCCAGTGCATGCCTAAATATAGCTGAAGGCTTCTTAGCCTGCAACTCAACTTTCTACAATACTGTATCTTATGGGTGAATAATAGTTGTCTCACTTGACAGATTTTGTCCTCAATCCCATAAACAATTTTAGCATTCCTGTGATAGCCAACAGTTGCCTAGCTTGTTCCTTTGGTTTGGATCTGTTAATTACCAGCTTGATGCCCCATTCTTGTGGTAACAAATGTTGTTACTTTGTCTACATTCTATATCCTTATCTGGATACGAATCTCATCGTAATGGAATGAACATAAGCAATACGTCTTTACACCCTGTGTCTGACGAAGTGCATTTTGACCCATGACAGCTTATGATAAAATAAATCTGTTCCCCTTCAGTGTTAGAATATTCTGCCCTTTTTCCTTTTTTCCTTCTCCCCTTTACTTTTCTGAAGCTTAAGATTATATCATTGCTAATGATGCCCATAAAAACTGCTAGGGAAATGATATATATTAAAACGTTTTAGATAGTATGCTCCTTGAAGCAGAATTTTCCTGCTTCATTTTAACCTTCTATATAGATCCACACATACTGCTGATCGTACAGTGGTGCCTCGCTTAGCGATTGCCTCATTTAACGATGTATTTGCTTAGCGATGAGGTCTTTGGAGTGATCTTGCGCTCCGTTTAGCGATGTTTCCAATGGGGAAATTTCACATAGCGATGTTTGGGACCTTGCTTCGCTTAGCGATGACAGTTTAGGCCCCCCCCTGTTTCGCTTAGCAATGTTTTTGACAGCTCCGTTTTCGCTATTTTTAAAAGGTGTTAAATTGTTTTAAAAGGGTTTAGAGTGCTTGAAATCATTAGTGCACTTAATAAACCCTTTGTTAACCAAATTTGGCTTCTGACTCTTTTTGAATTTTTGGTGATTTTTTTCTTCCCCATTGAAATCATTGAAAAGGTTTCAAAGCATTCCAATGGGGGAACTGCGTTTCACTTACCGATGTTTCCTATGGCGATTTTCGCTTAAGGATGGTAATCTGTCCCCATTGGAATGGATTATCCGGTTTTCAATGCATCTCTATGGGAAAACGCGTTTCACTTAGCGATGTTTTCCCATAGCGATGATTTTTTTTGAACCAATTAAAATCATTAAGCAAGGCACCACTGTATATGAATTTAAAAAATGCATCAAAATGTTTCAAGAAACCTTGACATCTGCACTGAGGAATATAATTTTATTAAAATGTGGGAGGTCCATCAAGTCCCAGCTAGAGATGTAAAATTTCCAAAAAATTCCATTTCCCCCCATTTTTCTTCTGGAAAAAAAATTAAATGTTTGGCAATTTTACATCTCTGGTCCCTGCAGGAGATGTGTAAGGATTTTTATGTGCAGTGCTCAACAATATAAACTATAAAACAATGCTGTCAAAAAGAAAAAGAGAAACAGAGGGAAATGACAATAGAAATAATGATAGCTGTCACAAAATGCCATATGGCTTGATATACAGCAGTGTTACTATAAATAAAAAATTATAAATGATCTGTCAGATCATTTAGAGATGATGTCCAGAGCACCCTATTTCAAATATCCAACTGTTTGAGGCATAATATTTCTACTTTGCCATGTAAAGCAAAAGGAAAACATAGTGAGCTATTCAGCAAGCTACTCAGTAATTGTCACTTATTTAAAAATAAATGGGTTTTAATATGAAGGAGTATTCCATTTTTTTAGATATGCATGCAGATACCAGTTTTTAAAAAGGAAGTGCAGAGTAGACTATACATTTGGCATCAGGTTTCTGGATCAAGCTAAAGGACTGTACACTTCCTGTCACTCTCCTTCCTTCCTTACACATTCACTCTCTTCTGCAATAGGACAGTTCAATGGTACAGTCAAGATCCAGATGAAGTTCAGTGATTGTTGTGTTTGTATGCAGAAGCCTCTAAGTTTTTGGCCTGTAGCGGCAGCCTCTCTCGTGCCCCCAACAAGTTCACTCCTGATATCAATGGATCTTCAAGATCTTTAGAAGAAAGTACAAAGGACTGCTGTTGGGTGGCATTTGTGCTGCAAGGAGAAGCACTTCTGCTTGCACATGGATGAGGCTGGAGCTTGCCCTAACGTGGTTCAAGTCCACCCCAATTTAAAATTTTAAAAAACAGGGATTTTTATGATTTAAATTAATTTTTTTTAAAAAAATTAAATCATTATTTAAATCAATTGTATTTTTTAAAAAAATCATTGATTTTTATCCACCTTGGTCCAACAGATGTGTTAACTCTAGTTATGAATGTTCTAAATGTAAAATGGGTGCCTAAGATCCTACATCTCTTTCAATTTTTGAACTATTCTTAAACCATAACAAATATAGTGACCTACAACTTTGATTTTTAGCATATTTTCACAGATGCGTAATGGTTATTAGAATGTTAATCATTCAAATCCCAAAAGATTGGATATGTGCTACAAATTTAAGAAATAATTAGCTCCATGGCACTTTGGTATTATAACAATCTAATCATCTTACTTGCAAGTTGTCACTTCCCAAATACAATATCATCTTCTAAAAACTATACAGAACTACTGCATTTTCACTGTGATTACTGAGTCACAAGCATGAGCCCTAAGCATTTGTTCAGATTGTATCAGAACCCATTAAGCTTACTGTCACCAAAAAGTCGCTGAATATTCTACTGCTGTTGATGTCTGCAAAATGTAACACTTTTTCTTTAAACATGATTCTTCATCAAACTGAATGTGTCATCAGCTGTTTAGTAACAAATGCATTTCTAGATTATCTTATTTAATGAAGTGCCATATGCTAGAGAGTAAGGAGGGCTTCGTTAGACTCAGCCCACATTTAACTGAACCAGCAGAAACTGCCATTTTCAGCAGCAACTGCAGCAGCCTCTATAGTGCCATAGCATCCTAACCAACCATAGAATCCTGCAACAATGTAAGCCAGAATGTCTTCTCCCCTTCCAATCTTTTGCCCTTTCCTTTCAAATTTAAGTTTTATCCCTGACTCCTAGCTTTCTAACATTCAGAAAAATTAGTTTTGACAGTTGTAAAATCCATGATTTTATTGTTTTTGTTTTTATAAAGAACTGCTGGATAGCTTAGTGGTTTAGATAACTGGCTGTGGAGCCAGAGGCTGGAATCTGATTCCCCACTGTGCCTCTTTGACAGGGGCTGGACTCAATGATCCATAGGGACCCTTCCAACTCTGCATTTCTAAGCGTTATTTATTATTACATATGTGTAAATAGGAGAGCAAGTACACTGTACAGACAGAGTGTTGGACTAGGATGAAGAAAGCATGGGTTCAACTTTGTACAACTTCATGGAAACTCACTGACAGTAAGCCGTTCTTTGCACCTCCCACAGATATAAAAAACTATTAGTTACCATCAGTCAGAAGTGACTTGACAACACATAACAACAAACTGCTCGAAGAGTATTTGTCAGTCAGACGTATATAAACATTATAAACAAATTAAATAACTTAAAATTTCACAATTTGGCTAACATAATTAGATCAATTAACTTTCTGTTGATTTACTTGCTAGAGTTTTGAGGGTTTTTCCCTTAAATCTTTAACTGAACTTTTAAAGGTAGCTGATACTAGAAACATGCAGAATTACTGTTTTCTTTGTTTTGGATTAGCTTGTGCTTCTGTACTCTTCTTTTTCCTCAACAAAAAATGGAACCTCTTTCTCTGAACAACTCACTGGTTTGGGGTTAATATACTGGCAATGGAAAAATAATTACTTTTCATCTTTTACTAGTCAGTCATCATAACCTTTATTGGCATAAAACATACAGCAAGCAGGGGTCCTCAGATAGATGGAGGGTATATACCCTGCATGAAGCAGATCAAACATCTTTTACTATTACAGAATGTTATTTTGCTTCTTTATAATGGCACATATTCTAACCCAATTCTACAGAGTGAAGGACATTTAATGTGATTTCAATGCCTATATTAAATATTCCTGTATAATAAATATACATTGATATGCTCATAATGCTTGCACAGCTTTTCTTAAATCACTGCTGTTAGTTTTAAGCTGCTTCCCCTCTGGGTGCTGTTAAATGATACACATAAATAAATAAAAAGACAAATATATACAAACACCACTAAAGCTTTATTTTCCAATACTCTCCGCAGAACAGTATTGAAGGAATGTCTGGGGAGAAGAACAAAATGCAGACACTAGGCATTTTTATCACTCAGTCCCTGTAAATCTTATATGTATAAAATACAGCCTAATTTGATCCTAAGAATAAAAGACCGCATCTCTCTCTCTCTCTCTCTCTCTGAGCCTGCCCAGGTTTTAAGATTAGGGGAGGCATTTCTCTCAGTGCCACCACCCTCACAGGTGCGCTTGGTGGGGACGTGGGAAAGGCCTTCTCTGCTGCTGCTCCTAGACTTTAGAATGCCTCCCCACAGGTAGATTGGCCCCATATTTGTTGTCCTTCTGTAAACAGACAAAGACCTTTCTCTTCAGGCAGGCGTTCACTTAATAACTGGCTGTCTGAGAGGGTTTTTTAAAAGGATTGTTGTGCTCTGTTGTTTTAAATGTGTTTTGGTATTGATTTTGTTTACCGTTTTAATATAATACTTGTTTAATTCTTTTTAAAATATTTTTTAATATTTCTATATCGACTGCTTTTAGCTTTTAAATATTGTCTTTTTAATGATGAAAGTCACCTTGGGTTCTTTTTAAGGAGAAAGACAAGATAAAAATAAGTAAGTAAGTAAGTAAGCAAGTAAGTAAGTAATAAATAAATACATTGAATTTTCTAATTATACTAAGAATTTCACTACAAGATATTTTTTTAAAATCCATATACTATCACCAATTAGGCCTTCTCAAAGCAATGGTACACTGGCAGAGAGCGAGGGTACAGAAGCTAACCCACTGCCCTGATGAAACATAACAAAATATTTTTGACAAGGGGATTAGTATAGGAATTTCTGAATACAGTGGTGGCCCTCTTAACAATTGTCCTGCATTACGACAAATCCACTTTACGACAATGTTTTTCCAATCGCAATTGTGATCGCAAAATGATGGTCTAAATGGGGGAATTTTGCCTAATGATGATCGGTTCCCTGCTTCGGGAATTTTTGCTTTACGACGATCAAAACAGCTGATTGTTGGGTTTTCAAAATAGCCACCGGGTGCTTAAAATGACTCCCCGCTGTGCTTAGGGACGGATTCCTCACTATACAGGAACCGAAAATGGCCGCCAAATGGAGGATCTTCGCTGGACAGTGAGTTTTTAGCCCACTGGAACGCATTGAACGGTTTTCAGTGCGTTTCAATGGGCTTTTTAATTTCGCTTTACAATGTTTTCACTTAACAGCGATTTTCCTGGAACAGATTATCGTCGTTAAGCGAGGCACCACTGTATGTTCCAGAGGTGAACATAGACTACAAAGGTCAAATCTGAGAAACAGATGTTTCTCTATATAAATATCATGATGTCAAACAACCATCTTTAATCTAAATTTTCATTAATCCTATTACAACCTGAATATTATTTAAAAGGTATGTTTTTATGCACAGGGACATACTTTAAAATATTCATGTAACTATCAACACTGGTGCTGATGTAATGCTACATCAGGTTTTAGGAAAATAAGAAGGGAGGAAGAGAGTATATAAACCTGAAACTTAGCTCCAGCTCTCTCAAATATGGTTATGAGACTGTCAAATTTACATGTGTACCAGGCATGTACTGTATATATGTAGTTAGTTCAGACTTCTCCATAGCCAAATGAGCACACATACGCAAACAATACACATATTATAGTCTTGCTCCTGCTGAATATTCACTCACAGACATTTTCTCAATGAACGTTTTCCTGTTTTTAATTAATTTTTGCTTACTCACCTTGGCATTTAATCTGCTACAGAAATAAAAAAGGTAACACTTAAAAAAATAACCAGAACTCTAAAAATTACTAATGAAATAACACAGTTGATTAATAGCCAGGAAGCTCTTGTACAACTTTATAATATCATTTTCATACTTAAAATTCTGACATGATTCTAATTATTTAAAATTTCATCTACTACTGTACTACCATTAAATCTTTCCAAACAAAATGTCATTGTTCTGCTTTCCAAGCTTTGTGTTATCCATCAAATTAAACATGAGCCAGTTTCTCTCATAATCTTGGATCGGTAAGGTTATAGACCTGCTGCAAATATTAACATCACCTGCAGCATTTTAAAAACCGTAAAGTCTAAATACTGCCTTTAAATTGGAAAAAGTTCGTTTAAGAAGCCACTATATAATCATCCCTCTTTTTAAAATTAATCACTTATTTAAGTATTTTCAGGTTGCCTTGTAAGGCGCATTGTTGCTCATTGAAGATAACAATAAAAATTTAAAATATTTAATACACCACAGAAAATAAAACTAGTACATAAGATACAGTAATTTCCTTGTGTAGCATACAAAGTATAATTTTTGTTCTTACCTCTGAGCTGTAATCATCTGCCGTGGTGGAAATTTCACTTTCTAGCTACAAGAAGACAAAAATAAATAAATTTATTTTTAAAATCTACATTTTTATATATATACATGACTTCAGAAAGTATTTCACATTGTGTGTGTGTGTGTGTGTGTGTGTGTGTGTGTGTGTGTGAGTGTGTGAGAGAGAAAGTAACTAATCATATTGTGTGGAAAAAAGCCACCAAAACTTCTATCTGTCCATTTCACTTTAAAGTGGCCACCATAAGAGGGATAATGCCAACAAAAAGTATTCAGCAACATGCTAAATCTATTATTATTAAATGTGTACTGTATAAAAATTATAATCCTTTATGACAGGTGCACCATGTTTTGTTTATTTGTTTACTTGTTCAATTGACCTGGAGCCTGAACTTGGGGGGAACAACTATTTGCTGATGACACAACATTATTTATCATAGTTTAACCTGGAAGGGATAGTGAAACTCCTTCCCCACACCTCTTCAAGGAATGGGTGTTAAAACAGCAAATGCAGTTCAAGGTAAACAGGTGTAATATGATGCACACTGGTCAACCCCACTCCACCCCAAATAAAACCAATTTTAGGAGTCTGAGACGCCAACAATGGCTCAGAAACTAAAACATTTGTTGACTTTATTTTAGGAAAAAGCTAATTTAGAAATCTGTATTTGACTTCCCATCAAAACAAACATGTTCTTCTCAACTGGCAAAGGCAGAGTACCAGGTATGATAAGATCTATCTCTGGGCAATGTACAAGGATGTTGCTACTGCTGTTACCCAGGGCATTTTTATCCTATCACTAAATGTTGTGAGCCGCTTTGGGTCCCTTGTTGGGAGATATGTGGCATACAAATAAAACTAATAATAATAATAATAAATCACACCCCAAGTCATGGGTAAGAGACCTTGTTAGAGTGAATAAAGTACAGGTCACTGGACCAGCAGGTCTGAAATTAGTGGGGGGGTCAAATGAAATAAAGAATGGTTGATTTCTCTCTCTGAAACAGATCCTAAGAAGTGAGTGTGTAATACACATCTCAGAATGTAACACACTGAAATCAGATGGGTTTTTTAAAATGTCAGACTGAGCAAAGCCCTAAGGTGAGGACTTGAAGGCTAGAAAGCCTATGAATTGTAAGGTCACAATCAAATAAAATAGAATAGAAGTACATCTGGGAACCTTTTGCAGCAATGTTAAAATAATAAGAAAAAAATAAAGTGCTTTCAATATGGAATTTGCTGGTGCGTATCTTCAGAAACATTTTTAGTGCCTCTAGTGTGGTTCCCATTTTAAGCCTCCAGCTGTAAATATCTAATGTAGAATCCACATAGAATTACATCTACAGCATTGTCACATGAATAGATATGTGGTATAGATGTATGTCTGCTTTCAAGGAAACTACTTTCGTTCCACTAGAGTTCCAGTGCATGCTAGGAAGTGCGACAATCTCTTAAGTTGCAAAGTCCCATCATGGATAGGAGCAGAACACAACAGTGAAATCAGATCCTTCGAAAAAAGAGTTAAGCAACAAATGGATATTGAAAAAGGAAAATAGTCCTTTGTAATTCTGCCTGCAAACTTGCATATAACTATAAATTTGTAAAGGTAAAGGTTCCCCTTGACATTTAGTCCAGTCGTGTCCGACTCTAGGGCGCAGTGCTCATCCCCATCTCCAAGCCGTAGAGCCAGCATTTGTCTGTAGACAGTTTCCGTGGTCAAGTGGCCAGCACGACTAGACACGAAACGCCATTACCTTCCCACCATGATGGTACCTATTTATCTCCTCGCATTTACATGCTTTCGAACTTCTAAGTTGGCAGGAGCTGGAACAAGCAACGGGAGCTCACTCCATTGTGTGAATTTGATCTTACGATAGCTAGTCTTCTGACCCTGCATAGCACAGAGGCTTGTACAGTTTAACCCACAGTGCCACCACGTCCCACTGCGCCACCACATCCCACTAACTATAAATTACACAATGTCAAAGAGTGGTGAAGGCCACACAGTTCAAAAATATCTTCTGTGCACAATCCTCTCTGCTGGTTTGACTGAAACAACAGTGAGGCAACAGTTCACCCACAGGCAACCTTTTCCAAACATAAGAGGTTATTAAAACTGAAGTGTCAAAATACCAAGGAACTTTCTGTCTAATGGCATAACCTACAGCAAATAAGATGTTAAAATGTATTTTAAAAGCTGTTTGCAAGCAGCCATTTGATGCACTTATGTCTGAGTACTCCCTATATCAAAGTATGCTATTTCAACACACTACTGATTAACAAATACTTTCTGAGGAAAAATGAATATATTACATTAATTTCCAATTCTTTTTTATCCATTAAATATAATTCTTTTTTCCTATTCTTTTAGTTCCATTGGCTACCCAAGCACTTCTACACTTCTTTGTAGAAATCATTTTTACATGGAGTTGTCTGCTCTGTCTTCCATCCAGTGGCGGAAATCCAATAGTAACTCACAACCAGAGTAGGCTAAATCAATGGAACTTATGGAGCAGTTGAATTCCCAAATCCCCAGTGATTCTATGGGCCTACTCTCATTATGACTTACTACTGGGTTTCAGCCAGTATTTCTTTCATTGTCATTTATCACAGTTCATTAGATGGCAGTAACATTTCTTTATGCATGACAAAAATACCTTTTGTCACACCAGTTACATTTCTGCCTCTTAGTGCAGGATGCCTAGGAGGAAAAAAGATACTTTCCAAATTGAGAATATATGAGATCTTTGATCCTTGCTTCCAAACACATTGCCCTTGAAGGAAGGGAACAATCCTGATATCAACAGTGAATGTGGGTTAATCCATATCGGTCAGGATCCAAAGAACGGTGCAGCTAGTTTTAAACACCCAAGGGCTTATATTTTTTAAACTGTGGACCCATCATGGCAAGCCACATTTGAAACTGAATGGACTTTTAAAAGAACAAGACAACCACAAAACATATAAACAAACCCATTCCTTTTCTCAAAAACAAGATTTAGTTTTCTGTTCATTTTCAAACTCAAATCTTATATCATAATAGCTACTGCTCAACTGATTTTCCTAAACTATGAAACACTGGATTTATTTACTCTCAAAATGACTGCACACACAAGTATTCTGTGAGATCATACTGACAGATGAGAACACTGATATGAAGCTCTCTCCTGAATAGGTACTAGCTTTCCCTATATATAGTGTCTCAAAGGATGTTAAGCGTATGATTACAGTGTTTGGCAATGAAGACAAGATCTGAGAGTGAGAACCAGAGTTAAACTGAAAGGGTACAAATTAATCTTTATAGCTCATATAATAGCAGCACTTCTTGAAAACTGAGCAATAGAATTCTTAGCATTCCACAGCAATTGTCATTTAGTAAAATTCTTTCTTTCATGCATCCTGTGAATATATATCAAAATGTGCCATTTCCTATGTTAATCTCTTCTATATACTTCTCCACTTCCAAGACTATTATTTCCAGATGTAACTTATTATTTTAAATAATTTCTAAACAAAATAAGCAAAGGATGAAAGATTAAGGAGTGTGTTGTCTGACTATAAGCTTAAACTATCTTCACATACTGCCTAGATTCCTTGACAGCTAGACATTACAAGTTCATCTTTAAACCTATATTAATGAGAATCATTATACAGTATACCAAGAACTTTAACCCTACAGACCAGTAGTGGAAAACCTAAATATACTTGTAAGACAGTGCAGCTTTATCTTTCAAAGCAGTTTATATTTAGTTGTATTTCTGGTAGCAAACTACTCGATGAGAGTGCTTTATCACACACAGAAAGAAACAGAGTTTGGTATTTGTTCATAATGACAGGGAGATTTTGGGTATTTCCCATAATCTTTTCCAGGAGCATAAGAAACAAGCACAATAAGCTTGAATACTTAATGTAGGAAGGCAAATGTTATTTAATAGGCATTACTCTAACCTAATGGGATGAGACTAATGACTGCAATATAATGCTTGAAGGATATAATTTATTCAAAAAGAATAACTACTGTAAATGGGAAGAGAGAGGGATAACATTGTATATAGATAATGTGTGCAACTGCCTAGAGTGGTCTTAACTGACCAGATAGGCGGGATATAAATTAAATAAATAAACAAACAAACAAACAAACAGTGAAGAGATACATAAGCTAAAACATGGAATTCTAGTGCAGAACATTCTGATGAAAATCAAAGGAAATAAAAACATCAGTGACATCACTGTGAGAATCTACTAAAGAGCAGTGACATCACTGTGAGAATCTACTAAAGACCTCAGTTAAATAAATAAATAAATAACCAGACACAGTAATAATGAGATTTCAACTGCCCTGATGTCTACCAGAAGTTCAACTCTGCCAATAATGTAAGGTCTAATAATTTCTTCTGTTCCCTTGCTGACAATGTCATTTTTCCAAAGGAGGAAGAAATAACAAGGGGATTAACTGTCCTTGATCTGGTCCTAACTAACAAGGAAGAACTGGGGGGTGGGGGTGGGATATGGAAACTTTAGGAGTAAATGATCACAGACTTCAATACATTGAGAAAAGGAAAAGCTGAAAATAGTATAACAAGTACATTGATTTCACTAAGCAAGAAGAAATACTGGGAGTTCATGATGGATGGGACTTTCTTTAGAATGGGATATTGAAGACAAAAATCACAAACAGTTCCGATGAGAAAAAAAGGGGGAGACATCTAAAGAAGGCAGGATGGCTGCAGAAGAAGCTCTCAGATTTCATGGGGCTGAATAGAAAATGGAAGAAAGTGCAAATAAATTATTATTATTTGTAGAGAGAAGGTTAAAAAGCTAAAGCTCAACATTAGGTCAAACTTTCAAAGGAGGTTAAAGAAACAAAAAGGGGGTGGTGGTGTTTTAAGATGTCCTGTTCTAGTGGCCAAGTTGGCAACAATGGGCTGCAGGAATAGGCGAATGTGAAGGTGGTTGATGGGCTACAAAGAGTGCTCACCATGGTTCCTATCATAAAAAAACGTGATAAGTTAGGATAGGTGTCACATACTTCTCTCCTATGTCCAGTCTTGTTCAATGTCTTTATGCAGGCATGGAAGGGGTGCTCATTAAATTTACAGATGATACCAAATGGGGGAGGAGCAGCTAATATTTCAGTAGACAAAGTCAGGATTCAAGACAAATTTAATGGACTGGAAAACTGGGCCAAAACTAAATAAAATAAATAAATCAGATGCTCAGATACAATATAGGTGGCAGCTGACTTGGTAATATCTAGAGGTCTTGATACACCACGAACTGAACCCAAGTCAACAGTATGACACAGTAGCAAAAAACTGAATAAAATCCATATCAAGGGAAATAATAGTACTACTCATTTTTGCTTTGGTCAATCCTCACCTGGAATACTGTCTCCAGTTCTGGGCACCACAGTTTAAAAATCATATTAACAAGCTAGAATGCCTTCAGAGAAAGGCAAACTGGATCACATAAGGTTTGCAAACCAAGCCCTGTCAGGACTGTATGAGTGAGTGTGTTTTGACTAGAGAAAAGAAGATTGTGAGGTGATATGATAGCCATCTTCAAATATTTGAAGGTTTGTAAAAAGGAAGTATGCTTTTTTTCCTCTATAGGTCCAAAAGGCAGAACCCAAAGTACTGGATTCATATTAAAAGAAAAGAGAAAATGGCAGACTCTTTTTCATTTGCAGATTTTAAACAAATGTTAGATCAGGGAATCTTTAGCTGTGGATTTCCTGTAGCATGGGGTTGATTTCAATGATTCATGGGGTCCCTAATAGCTCTATAGTTCTATGATCTGGAGAGACAGGTATCTGCAGATCATTTGCTTCCTTTTGTTTTTATAGTAACCTTCAGTACTCAGAGAAGCCTGGCAACAGTTAAATTATATTTCAGGATCACTGCTTGCCTATTAATTACTTACAGAGACTGACAACTACTGGCAGCATTGCAAAGGAACATTGACACAGAATATTTCATGGGGAAATCCTAGTTTTAGAACATCAAATTTTGAACAAGATGGTAATCAACAAGCCATTTTGCACAAACTATGTAGGACAAAGAGCACTTTTACTCACTTTATTCCCCACCCAATAAAATGCAGGTTATATTTACCAGCATGTCATGAGACATTCAGTTTCCTTCTGTTTAAGATTATAAATGGGTTATTTTACTTTGACCAAATTTCTAAAAATGTTTAAAGGAAATTACCTTCATGAGCTTTTCCAAAATGAAAAAAATAACCTTATAAAAATAGAGCGCCTTTAAATTCACCTTAGAGTATTACTATAGAACAGAAAAAGGTAGTCTCGTAATGAAGGAGCCCATTATAATAAAAACACTTCCCCAAAGCTAGAAACACTTACTTCTGCAGCATATGTTTGATCATGCTTGATCATTTCATCATTGTGCAAAGTCCTCGCTGTAACAAAGTCAGTAGTAGCAGCTGCTCCTCTTTGACAGCTATGTGAGTATGCATCTTCTTGGGACTGGTCAAGGTCCAGACCTTCTTGTACTAATTCTTCATCTTTGCTGTTTGATGCCTTCTTCTTCTTTTTCTGCTTCTTGGATGCATGCTGCCCATCAGAGTGTGCTTTCCTTTGTCTAAACTGTGCGAGCTGTACACAGAAAGAAAATCCTTTTAGGGTGAAAGTTTTCCTCAGAATTGCAAATGACACTAATTATCTGGGTTTATAGTATACATAGACCTCTAGAGTAACTGCAGGTGAAAACCAAACTACCAGCACTTCTCATATTACATATTCCTGGGTATGAAATTTGAAAATAATGTCATATGTGCAACATGATCAAAATATCAACAGATACTATGATAACACTAATATCTATGTTGCAGGTTTCACAGAACCTAGTAAAACAGTTACTGAAAAATCTAAAATTCAAGAAACTCACATTTAAAAGCATGTATTTTTATTTATAATTTATGACTAGATCTTCACCTGCTTTTCACTCTGTACTTTCTCCCTCACAGATTTTATTAGGCAATTTAGTAATGTCCAACAAAACTAATAAACTTTTAAAAGATGTTAAAGTAATGAAGTCTGGCTCTAAATGCAAAATATAAAGAACATCCAATAATTATGTTGCAGAAGGTTGCAGGCATATTACTAGACACCCTACCTTGTAGCAAAACATGGCTATGAACAAAACGTTGCAGGTGAGCCAGACAAAGAACAGCTGAAAACCAATTACTGTAGTACCTAAGCTATTCAAATACTGTAAGTCAATGCCTTTTGCAAAGCTTATCACTTTTAATGAGATAGAAATGGATTTTCACAACTAAACCACGACAATACATTTTTCTTAGTTAGAAAAACAAAATACAGGCTATGGCAGGAAAATAATTTGTCACCTTGGCTTAAACATTAAAAACATATATACAATTTATCACTCGATTTTATTGCCTTTGAAGTTCATCACAGCCTGCCTTATTTCTGCCAAAACATTACTTTTCAATTTGCAGATGAAATAAATACAAACAGAAGCAGAATCACATGCTATAAATTAACTAGTAACAAAGTACTTCTGAAAAACATTTGTCCGGAGGTAATTTTAGCAGACTAGACTATACAGGAATTTCACACTCAAGATATTTACCAATCCAGACAGCCAGGCCTCCATTCAAGTTTGTTGTCACAGTCAGATAAATAAGAAAAGGTTCCAAACTTTAGAACACAAAAAGATCTTCATTTCCAACTGCCGTATACTGCAGTATGAGCTGTTGATTTCATTTATCAGCCAACCTCAAACTAGTACCAAAGAGTCTGAGAATAAAGAATACAGCTAATTGCAAATCTTCTACAACATGCTATGCAGTATAACTAGCCACTTTGTCCTTCTTCAACTACAGACATTTCTTTTCCCCAGCTGGATTCGGCTGTCTCCAGTCCCTGCTGAAACTGCTGACGACCCGACCCAGCATATGGCTCCTGCTCCACTTGCAGACAGACCTTGAGATTTGCTGAGCCAAGAATGTTCACCTACGTATTTAGCACTTGCTTCTTCCTGCTCTTCTCTGTGTTCTTAATTAGCTTACCCAATTAACATAACACTTTCGACTTTTCATTAGCAAACTCTTACAAATTTACTAAAACTTTAAGAAAGCATAAGCAAGAATTCATTAGCACTCCAACTAAGAAAATCAACAAAGAAATAAACACCAATGGCATATGAGAAGGTCCATAACATCCTTTCCAGTTAATTTGTTGCTATCCCCATCAAGCTCAAGTAAACAATAGAAAGCACAGGAGACTTATCCTCTTAGCAGAGGAAAGAAAGGCTTTCAGTTCTCTTAGCCTTTTAGACAGCCAGTATGACCATCCAACAGTTACTTAAGGCTGCAAATCTCACTACCTATATGCCTAAGTGTCCTATTGATTTAAACCTACCACTTTGTAGTCCATAAAGACATTTCATAACTGTAACAAATGAAGAGATGACATTATTTATCTTTAACTTTTAAAGTAAGGAAGGATAGTATCTTATTTGTTCACTATTTGAATGTTTGAAGGTTCTGATGAAAAGGAGGGAAAACCTATACAGTACGTAGAATTTTCTTATTTAAGACATTGTGCTGTAGCCCAATCAGAGAACCAGCATGGCTGTTTGAATACCTAAAGCAGCTAAATGGAAAAGTATAACTAGCATCTGAGGAGATAATGTGCAGAAACAAAGACATTTTTTTTTAAAAAAAAAAATCCTTCTCAAATGATAAGCCAGATTTTTACATTGGTTATTTTTTAAAAAAAAACAGGACAACTAGTGGTATGCAATGCAGATTCATTTTATATTCAGAAACTGTTTCACAATATAAGCTATTGTTGAAGTTTGGGGTGAGGCAGAGATGAGAGTCAAGTCAAGTTTGTGAAGTACCAGAGAGCCCTGAAAGAAGTGGCAGGTTGGCCTTGGGTTTCTAGAGTATATGAATTCCATTTTAACTAAACTGTCAAATTAGAAAGATGGATGGATGGATGAGATTTTTATACCACCCATTTAGCAGAACCTACTACTGTACTTTGGGCAGTTTACAATACATACAACCCCCTCCCCTGAAATATATTATAAAATCAAACCAAACAACTGTAAGTAACTAAAATTACTATGCAGCAGAACAGGAAGCAATAAAATTGACAATAAGGTGTTCCATCATTTTCCTTCCTTTTTTCTTCTTCCCTCCTCTCTCTTAACTAAGAAAGGCCTACCCAAATACGTCTTTAAAAAACTTTGTTTTTAGGAATTTCTTAAAGGTCCAAAAGGTGAATTTTCTGTGGGAAGGCATTCCAAACATAGGGCACCACTGCTGAGAAAGCCCAATTCCTTGCTGTTGTCTTACAGGCTTCTATTGGTATCAGCACCTACAGGTGTAAGGCCTAAGACATCTGGGTAAAATGGGCAGCAGAACTTTGAAGAAAATGTTCTGACGGGTAATGAGATCTCAAACCGTTTAGATCTTTATATGTTAGTACCAGAATCTTGAACATGGCACAGAAGCAGGCTGGTAACCAGTGAAGGCAGATCAGAATTGATGTTATATGATAGAATTTCCACACCCCAGCAATCAATCTGGCCACTGCATTCTGGGCCTCCTGATATTAAAATAAAATATATTCTACTATGGGAAATAAAGAAGCTTCAATGTTCAATTTTAATTAAAGTACCATATTTTCTTGCTTAATAAAGTTATTGTCAGATGTTCCATCGTCCTTTTCCTACTCTGTACTGTATTCTGCTTATTAGTCTCCACATGTTCTTCTTTCTCAGATTACACTGTCTTAAGGAAAAGGCACAAGCAATAATTTTTTGTGTACAAACAATACCCTACAACTTTGTCCTACTCCAATCTTTGTACATTGAGATTTTAACAAATTCAATTATGTTAGTAAAATAACACTCTAGAAAATGACACTTCTTGGTCTTATAAACAGCAGTAATTTTCATTCAATCTTACCTATCTGTGACTTATATGCTCCCTAAATACATACGTTCCAATTCACAAACAATAATTTAATAATAGTTATAAATTAACTATAAAAGACATATGCAACATGCACAAACCATTATTTTGGTAGATATATTAAATATAATATGCATATTCACCAATATACACCAGGAAAATTCGGCACATACTAGTTCGATCAGAAATGTCACTGAGTATGCCAACAAGAAATATTACTGACAGTCCTAGCACTGCTTGAGCAATTATTACACTGTCTGTCTGCTGTAAGGAACAGGTGCAAGTCCAGTTGGCACAGCACGTCTGATACTCATCTATGGGACATTTAATCACTTTGAACCCCCGCCTGAGCAGAGCAGTTTAAAAGCAATAGCGATATGGGGTTGATAGTTTTGTTCCACCACAAACCAAAGTAATTTCCCAAAAGTAGGTACTTAAGGATAAATATTCCTCATGTTTTACCACAAAAGCACTTTAAGACTATGTGCAGAATCCTATTAGTTTTAGTGCATAAACTGCAGCACTGAATTGCAGCTAGTTAATGAGTTACCACTTGTATCCCTTATTGTGCACCACTGATTGAGGAATACAACTGGCAACTTGTTAACTAGCAGCAATTCACTGCTGTCCTTCAGGCCACTGAACTTATATTAGCATAACTAACTACTGTACAGTAGTTGGATTCTGGCCAATGCCAAGAGTACCACTGCATCTGTGGTATATAATGAAGCATTATATTTCAGCCAAGCATGTGGTAATTGTTCATGATATATCACAGGGAGCACAGTCACAGGGAGTAAGGTTTCCTACACCACTTCCATGTCTATTTCTCAGCTGCCCTCTGTTCCCCTTCCTAGATCATTTCCCACAGGACATACATATATCGTTGCAATGCTCCCCTGTCTACTTCTTGATATCTGAAAAGAAGTACAATACTGAACTGCTTTATATAATTTAATAAAGCTATTTTCATGAGCAAAATTGTAAGAATAAACTCACTGAATGAATGAGACTTGTTACATTAACTATAATGTAAATCATACTAATTTTCTTGATTTGAGCTGGATTTAGTTGCACTTCTATTTTTTAATTACATGTGTAATATTCTGATAGCAAAAACATGTTCAGGCCCAACTTACTTGGATACAGACAGTAAGTTGCCCTCTATGGTTCTCCCTTCAATGCCCAATCATTGTCCTGATAGAAAAACAGTATTTGATGGGAAACACCCAGACATGGATCAGTGTGCAAAGATTATTACTGGACTGTGACAGATGAATATACTGCTAATATTCCATTTTGAAATTCAACATCATTATATAATGGTGAGTAGTTTTACTGTATTTGAATACTCCTACGGTATCTGCAGTAAATCACAAAACGTAACTTATGAGTAGAAGGTAAGTGCTATTCTAATCTCAAAGATCTATTTTCACTAAAACACACAAATTGTTTCATTTAAACACACACGTTAAGCGAGGCACCACTGTATTCCATTTTGAAATTCAACATCATTCTATAATGGTGAGTAGTTTTGCTGTATTTGAATACTCCTATGGTATCTGCAATAAATCACAAAATGTAACTTATGAGTAGAAGATACATGCTAGTCTAATCTCAAAGATCTATTTTCACTTAAACACACAA